AAGAGACAAATTCCTAATGCAAGAAATTGTATATGGCCAATAAAATGATTATCATCATCATCATCACATCCCGGGATTCAGTCTGGGCTGTGGCTGGAGATGACTGAGGCCTGTCGGGTTCAAGCAGGCGAGCCCAGCTTGCTGTACAGCAGTGAGTCAGGTACCTTGCAGGATTGCAGGGTGGGGTGCGGGGCAAATCCCATGCAAACCCCACTGTGCTACTGGTGGACTCAAGCGTGCAGGAAGCCCAGGTCCAGAGACCCCACTGCCACCAGCCCCTCTGGCCCAAATGGGAGAAGATGATTGACTTGGTGCTGCTGCTTCATTTCCTGTTGGGGCAGGAGAGGCTGATGGACAGGATAGTCCTCCCCTTGTCCTCCCTGACCAGCCTGACGGCCCCAACAAGCCCAGTACCTGACCTGGGAGAACAAATCCTAGTTTACTACACCTCCTATCTGACCAGGATTCCTTACTCTTTCAGGTCCTTCCCCACTGTGAACTCCAACTTCTGTGCCTGCCAGCATTGCAGAACTGACAGGCTGGTCAGGTGGGTACCGTGAGTGCCGTGGTCAGCACTGGGAGCTGTGTAGATCGGATGGCCAGGCAGGCCGCAGGAACGCCCCAGGGAGGGAGGGGTCAGTACTGACACTGCAGCTCCTGGCACAGGAAGCCAAAAGTGACCATCTGAGAGGCCTTTTTAGTCCAAGATGATGAGAGTTCCTCCAGGAGCAGATGGGCCACTACAGGAGCTGAGCCTGTTGTGCACTGTCCCTTGGGAAAGCTGAGTTCAACAGCTATCTGCAGACCAAAATGACTCTGCTGATTCCCAGAAAGGAACTATCATATTTTAAGGGAAGTAACTCATGCTATCTTTGGTTAAACTACTACTTACTTCAGCTCCTGGGTTGTCTCTAAACCAGGCTGAATGAACTGAGAGATGTCCAGTTTTGTTTAAAACTGCTCGAGATCCGAAGATCAGGTGGCATACAGAACAGCAACAGGAGTAAGGTGCTTTGTGCTCCTTCTTTGTTTGTAATGTCAGAAGCGCAGAAGCACAGCTGCCTCTATGCCGGTGTAAAGCCTCAGAAGCCTGAGGAAGTGAGACACCTGGCCATGAGGGGGCTGCAGAGGCACTGCACTGTGCCTCTTCCCCAGTGCAAACAGACAGCTGTGAGCCAGCCTTCCTGTTAGCGCGCTGCTCAGGAACAGAGGGGCGCACCGCAGTATGTGCAGCAGGTGCGATCACCCATTACTGCTTAATGTTGCTGATTGCTAATGAGTTCACTTCAGTGTTCTGGTTTAGCTGATTAAACTGCGTGCTGTGTTGCGATTGTCTATATTGAGGGTACCCTGCTCTTCCGTTCTGTGATCCAGGTACTTTCTAACAAACTGATACCAAACAACATACTTTTTTTAGTGTATTCGTATCTGTGAAGTGCTTGAGTGGTGAAGTCTAATTGCAATTGGCAGCACGTAAGACAATGGCTGAAGTTCCCTCTCTGCTCCCACTGTAGAGTGAGGGATGGTGTGGCCTGAGACCTACAGGGGGCGCTACAATACACTGGACTGAAAATGGAACTGCATGGAATTGGAAAGTGGTGCATTATTGAGGTATGAACAGTACAACAAAATACGTAAATCAGCAATTGATAAAGTGTCGTCCAAGTTACGTGTTCACAGTTCCATGTTTTGGTCCCTGCAGTCTCCCCTGTCAGTGTCTTGTACGCTCGTCATCAGCAGTGATGGCTGCAGCTGCTGTCTGCTGCCTCTCCCTGATCCATTTCTACACGTGGATGTCCTGACCATGCCCCGTCGCTGGCGTTGTTTCTGGCACTGCAGTGTGTCAGAGGAGCTCCAGGGGTGTTTTCGTCCTTCCGATGTGGTTTTGCAAAAGCACTGCAGAGATTTCCATCAAGCCTGGGGCACCACTGCGTCCGGGACAGCACCATTCTTGTGCGCGATTTATGGCGGACGGATGCGAGGGTCTTCTTAAGAAGAGTGTTTCCTGCTTTTCGGACAGCACCTCACTGACCTTGGGTGTGCATTCCTCTTCTTTTTATCCTATTTGAAGTTTTACTTGTTAGTCACTGATAGCTCTTCTACAGGATGTGCACGGACCTCTCCTTCGCACTAGCAAGCGGTAGTTAATGTGTGGCAGTCATTGAAGGTGTCCACGCTGCTCTGGCTGCAGCTGTATGTATACAATACACACAGACCCCTGGGAAATTAAGGGTGTGACAAAGCAGGGAGAAAAATAATAACACTTTGAGTTAATAGGGTATGTTTCATTGCAAACTATGTCAAAGTGCTTCACCAGCACAAGGGCCCTCATTCTGAGGGAGTGTGAAATACGCTGCCTTTCTTCATGTTCTGGGCTTTCTAAAAGTGTTTCACTGGGACGATTGATGTTGGAGTGTCCTTCGCTCTGCCTATTGTGTGAGTCCTGCACCACGCAGGGCAGGTGCTGCGCATACAGTGGGGGCTCTGTGTCTTGGCCAACCGGTTAATTAACACAAAGTTCCTCCTCCGGCCCGTGTCCTCCTCTGTCTGCTCCTGCTCCTGTCCCAGTCTGCCCAGGATCTGGCCTCCCACCACCTCCGGAATGCTCTGCCGGAGCTGGTCCAGCCTCCGACTGCGCTTGAAATCCCACATGGAGGACCTCCCTGGGCCGCCCAGGGCCACCCAGGGCCACCCAGGGGCAAACATGTCATCATACTGCGTCTCGGGCGGCGGCGTCTCGGGCCGAGGTGAAACTGAAAGATGAAAACCGAGACGAAGCCGAGCTGCTTTGAAGGAGGAAGGAGCCCTGCCCTCCCTCCCCGACACCCTTCATCCCTTTGTTCTTGGGTAGATTCTTCACTGTGAAGCACTGTGTCACTGGGGACTCGTGCCTGGGGCCAAGAGTGACTTCCAAATAAGAAAGTAAAAGGTTAGCAAGCGAGGACGCCTGCCTGGTTGATCTGAGGATCTCTTCTAGTAGTTTCGCCAGTAGACACCAGGAAACCTACCTGCTTCAACAACATGGCTGGCTAGGCAGCATGTTCCATACTCCCACAACACTTTGTGTAAAAACTTGCCTCCTGTTCTCAGTTTTAAATGCACTTCACTGTAGTTTCCACTTGTTGGTTTCATGTGTTACTGTGGCCTCTGAAGAAGCCCAATGGGTTCACTTGATTACTGCCTTTGAGGAGTTCTGAAGGCTTGAATCAGTCTCATCTCTTCATCCTGTTGCGCTCACCCAGGCTGTTGTCAGCCGCCTTACCCTGAGGGACAGTCTGGTGGAGTGTTCAGGGGAGCTGGGGTCCACAGCAGAATACCACAGCTTTGATCATCTTAATTAATAATATGCACCTTGAATTCCCTCCAGCAGGACACTGTTTTATATTTAATCTTTTGTGTATTCAAATACGTCCGTCCATCCATTTTCTAACCACTTCATCCAATGTAGGGTAGTGGGGAAGTCGGAGCCTGTCTCGATACAGC